TCCCCCCCCCCGCCTGTCGCCGCTCGCCTCTGCCCGAGTTGGTGTCATGTGGCGCCGCGGGTGCTCGGTTACGTAAAGGCCTTTCTCCCCCGCTGGCGACAAAAGAGGGTCTATGAAACCCGTCCGCGATGAAAATGATCATCGTGACCAAAATGATCGCTTTGGCTACCTACTGTTGAAATTGTCAACAGCAGCAAGCAAAATCAATTTCTTGGAGAGGAGTCCAAAAAATATTCTCGTCTTCTGCGGCTCGCGCGGCGTCGTCGTCCTCTGCCTGCGGATTTGGATTGGATCATTTCCATTTGTGCCATCTGTAATTTGATCACGAGTGTCATCCTTGTCATAACCATCAAAGAATGAGGGTGACTGTTCGCCCGTAGCTCTCCTGATAAAACCTGAAATTAGTCCGTTATTGCTGAAAAGTGATTTTTGTCATCGTGTCGTGAGAAGACTCTTTTTTCCTGACTTTTTGTGCACCGAAAACTTTTGTTGGCTAGCGATGAGACATTGATTTGGACCACACCGGCACAGCGGTAGAATAACGAGATTGTCATTTACATGAGCCTGAAGTTGCTTGGGGGATATGCTAACAGCGTTAGCTTTTATCCAGTCTTTTACCATCTGGTTCTGCCAGCACTCGCGCTAATGTTTTTTTAATATATTATCGCGCTCACGCCATTGATTCGCAGCGGAGTTATTCATGCGTGGGCTCTTAAAAACACAAAGCGGTGAGGTTTTTTTTTTTCACGTCAGTAACATTAGCGCAATGGTAGCCACACACTAGTGGGCCTTAAAATCTCTCGTGAGGGCTTTATGAGCCAGGAGTCACTGGCCGGCTCATACCGCCGAAGCGCAAACATGTTAGCTGCTTTTTTTTTTTTTTTTTTCTTCTTAAATGGGAAGTCAACGGCAAAAATGTTGACAGGAATACGTTCCACGGGGCGGCCATTTTGTCAGTTGCCGACAATTGCAAATGACGCCACGGTTGCTCAGGGATCAGGTAACGATCAGTCGTGGCTCAGCTTCAGAAAACGGGCCCTGGAGCTGTCTTGAAATCCCAACGCTGGCTTTAAAAGCGCCGGTTTGAATCACGGCTCATCGCCGCCTGCAAAGTTTTCATTCGTAAGCGCTGCCCTTGTTGAGTTTTGATGTTTTCACAGCAGAGCAGATACCGAAACGAGTCGAAGCGCTGCGGGCTAAACAGACAGACGGCAGTCAGGAGGAGAATGTAACAAATCTCGACCAAGCGACGCGAGCAAGCTCTGTAAGATGATCCCAAGAAATGCCGCTGCGCTTTTCTTTTTTTTTTTTTTTCTTTTCTCCCCTACCAGCATTCTCGCTTCATGCTTCTTGCCGGTTACGCAACAATCAAGGGGGCCCAAAATGGGAGCTTGCGAGCGTCGGCCACCTGTGAACGTTTTTAGAACGAAATAGAGAAATCCAAGAAAGGACATTTGACAGAAGACGTGGAGTTATTCTCACAAGTGTTACGCAACATCCTGACGGACTCACGAACCGGTGAAAGGTTTTGTTTTGGTCTAACAGATGTTTCCATGTTGGAACAAAAGGAGACATTTTGCTCCTTGTAAATACATATGGATGTGATTTATTCTTTTTTTTTATTGATAAATTGGCAAACAATTCAAAAACGTGTGTGTGTGTGTTCAGAGTTGGAATGAAACTAACATAAAATGTAAAAGGATGCACAGAATAACGTTTGTTTTTCTTCACAGGCCGGATTTGCCGCAAATGACGTTTTGAGTCCGAGAACCAAAATGGCCGCCCACATTCCCGAGCACGAGAAGTGTCTTTGACGAAGCCAACGAAAAAGTTGCCGCAGGAGATTCCTCGATTCAGCAAAGAAAATCGACCGCCTTCCTCCCCAAAAGCGTCCCATCATGCCGATCCTCAAGCAGCTGGTCCACTCCAACCAGTCAAAGCGGCGATCACGCGCCGACCTGACGGCGGAGATGATCAGCGCTCCTTTGGGAGACTTCCGGCACACCATGCACGTGGGGCGCGGCGGCGACGCCTTCGGGGACACGTCCTTCCTCAGCACGCGTTCGGGCGAGGCCCCCGACGCCAAGCGCGACTCTCCGGGCTCCAAGCCGTCGCTGCTGGTTCGCACCTTCCGCGGCAGCAAGCGCTCGCACTCGGTCAACCGCGGGGACCGCTACGAGTACCACGCCGCCGCCGCGCCGCCCGCCGCCTCGGCCAACTTTGTGAAGAACGCCATCTCCCTGCCGTACCTCAACGACCACGAGGGTGCCGGCAGAAGCCAGGGGACGGGCGTGTCGTCGGCCAGTGGGCCGGCGGCCATCGCCACCTTCGGCGCCGAGTTTGACGAGCGCAACTTCGGCGACATCGCCGAGCTGCCGCCGTCGCAGCCCAAGGCCGGCGGCGGCCTGAAGCACGCCGAATCCATGATGTCCTTCCACGTGGACCTCGGGCCCTCCATGCTGGGCGACATCCTGAGCGTGATGGAGAAGAAAGACTTTGAGGACGACGACCTGGGCTACGAGGAAGGCAAGGGCAGCGAGGGCCACGGTTCGCCCGCGCACATCCCGCTCATCGACGACCCCGCTCCCGTCGAGGAGCGGCAGCCCCCCGCCAGGCCGCCCCGCATGATGATCTACCAGCAGAAGGTCATGGTGGCGCCCTACAGCCCCGAGCTTCACGCCAGGAACAACAACAACCACCACCAGCACCTGGACAGCTGCTCCGTGTCCAGCTCCGGTTCCACCACCGAGGAAAAGACGGCGTACCCCCACCACAACGACACGGACAGCGCCAAGTACAGCTCGCCGCGCGACGACGACTTCTCTTACATGGACGATGATGACGACGAGATCAGAGTTTAAGATCGGACGCCTGATCCTCGGGTCGAAATTCATCAGTTATGGCATCCGGGGCTGTCACTCGTCACCTCACCTTGTCCGTCGACTTTGGGAAAGCCGGTGGCCATCTTTGAATGATCGCAGCAACGCGGTGTTGAAACAGAAAGTCAAAGTTGTGGCCAGGGAATGTGTTCAAAAAAATTTGAAGGTGGGATGCTTGGATCCTGTGTGGACTTTTCCAGTTTCTTCCTCCCTCGTTCCCAAAACGTGAAGAAGGTTCGCTTCATTGAAGACGCTAAATTGGCCTTTGGTGTGAAAGTGAACATGAGTGGCTATTTGTTGAAATGTGCCGACGACCAGGTTGCGCGGTGCACCCAACCTTTGCCTAAAGCCGGCCCACCCCCTGACTCCTAAAAAACATATCTGCAGGCCATTCCATGTTTTGTTTTCGTCTTAAAAAAAGTCAGGCGTCCAATTGCACTTAAAATGGCAGGTCGCATTGAAAGTACTTTACAGAATGTAAAAAAGTTCAGGTATGCGTTTTGGTTCTGGTCAAGTAGACGTTAGCTAACGCAAGGAGAATTGGCCTCCCAACGGCAAGTTCCTTCCTCGAATGGATGCGGTCGTGACGGTATTCGGTTCCTGTCAGCACAGGACTAAAAGAACGGAGAGCAAAGGAAAAATTACTCGCAGACCACAATTTTAGGTACACCTGCGTCATCGTGACAATAACATGAATAAAAAAAATCGAGACATTTTGGTCAAAATATGATCCGTTCTCCTAGTTGTGGTTGTAGTTTGCATTTTACTAAATAAAACAGAAAATACTATTATATGACAAATGTTAAATTAATATTTTAAGTGAAAATATTTTTGGAAACAAAATATATTGCCTAATTTATTGACGTTGTACATTGCACTATCCTAATCTAATTTAGTCATATGCATCCTACGGCCGCTGTCTTATTCTAAGCTATGAGTTAGTGTTTTTGCATTAATGATGACAGTTTGGCATTTATTAGATTGAAAAAATATACATACGGAACATGAAATGTCATAGCTCCTATAAAAAAAAAAATGGAATTCAAAAAAATACAATTGCTATTTTATCCAACATATGAACTACCAGTTCACGAGTTGTATTTTTCTCGATGTCGTTTGCATATTTGAGAATAGAAATAAAATACGGTTATTTGCAAATGTACATGCTATAACCAGTAATTATTTTATTTTAAAAAAATGCGACCTATTATTATTATTATTTTATTTATTTATTTTTTTTACAGTTAGAAAGAGCTTTTCTCTGAATCCAGAGTATGGTGCAGGTGTACCTAATGGTGTCCAGTGTGTTGTACGTTAAGCCAAGTATAGTTTAATAATCACTTTGTCGCGAAAATTCGCAAGTTATTTTCCTTGCGTTTATAGAATTGCTGTTTCATATCAGTCTTTTGTATGCATATACTTTTCTGAGGTAAAAGGGCCAAATTTGAAACATGATCATCATCCACCGAGCAGTTGTTGTGCCATCAATGCTGATGAACAATTTGTTGCGTGATCCAGCAGTCTGTTTGTGGAACTGCTGCAAGAAGAAAACAATGATGGAATATTCCACCAAATTGCTGTGAAATGCCGTCTGAGCTGCGTGGACTTGATATTTTTTTTTTCCTTTGCAAATAAGCTGCAGGAGGGGGGGGGGGTCTGTTAAATAGAAATAGCTGTAAAAGAATGTTTTATTGCCAAGTTTGTGCCATCTATTTACTTCTTTGCAGCACAATAACACTATTCAACTTTTGTTTTTCAATAAAAAAAAGAAAAAGCTTGTGAAATGGCGTCATCTTTGTCGTTGGACAGAACAATATTAAAGGAGTAAATTTATGAGAGGTTATCAAGAAGGCATGAACGAAAACATACATGCTTTAAAAAAAATCTGAACCACTGATTGTCTTGAGTCAAACTCAACGGGTGCTAACCATCAAAATGAAGTCACCCCCCCAAGCAAGCAAAAGCAGATGGTTCGCGTGGATGCGACGTCAAGCCTGCCGAGAACAATTGTGCACGAAGGGAGTGATTGATTACCTCAGTGACGGTGGGTATGGTTGCTCGCCTGTCGATAACAATTGATTTTAGTCTTACGATACATCAATGCCATTTTTTTAGTCTTACGATACGGCATGCCATTTTTTTAGTCTTACTATATGCCATTTTTAGTCTCATGATGCAGCGTGCGATTTTTTTTTAGTCTTACGAGACGTGTCAGTTTTTAATCTTACTACACATCATGCCATTTTTGGGGGGTCTTGCAAAACATGTTAGTTTTTAGTCATTTATTAGTCCGAGACCACTCCCCCCTTAACTTTCCTCGGATTCTCTCTTCCTCATTTCACAGCCCGATTGTATAATAAGCTGTTTTTTTACAGCCAAAAAGGACTACTATGTGTCGTTTTAGCCCCCCCCCCAAAAAAAAACGACCAGGTATAGTAAGGCGTTTTTTACAGCCAAAAAGGAAGACAATGTATAGTAAGGCGTTTATGTCGAAAAAAAAACCCACCATGTATAGTATTTCTTCGTTGAAAGGTTTCCTTTACATTTTTGAGCCCTTATTGATTGACATACATTGCCGAAGACAGTGAATACTTTGAGGGGGAAAAGTTATTGGGGCCCGACAGAAAGTTTTCTGCCCAATATTAAATGAAGTTTGATTTCACCGAAATCCTTTGGTTATTGCAGGTTCTTCAGCCCCCGGCCCCGTTGGGACCAGCAGAGACCACCCCGCAACCATCCTGACGAGACTTGCGTCTCAACTATTCCAGCGGAGTTGCCATGATCAACAAAGCATCTTGAAACAATGAAAAAAGTTGGCTTGCACGTTTGGAAGTTTGCGTATGGATGTTTTATTTGCACTTTATTTACAATCGCCAATAAAGCAAAATGACACTATCTCTTTGTGATGCTCGTCTTCAATCTAAAAGGAAGCTGGCTTAACAAACTCTCTCTCCTGGTCTCAGCTCAACTCAACTGTATTTATAGAGCACTTTCAAACAGCCATCGCTGCATACAAAGTGCATGGAGCAATTAACATAAACAACAAACAGTAAAGCAAATCGGGAATAAAGACGGTAGAAAGCACCGAACAGCAAAACCAAGATCTCAGGATGGCGTTCTGAAGGCAGGTAGGGGTAGGAAAGACTGGCGGGGTCGAAGGGTTATGGGTGAGGTTTGTGTGCCGTCACTTCACCCACAGGCGAAGCTCGTCCCATCAGTGACCACTCCACGAGAAACGCCAACCGTCTCGCCAATTCGATTCTTTGTTGACCTTCAAAAACCGATTCGTGTGGTCGTCCGCCTGTGACTACATATAAAAAATCCGAAATTTTTGTGCCGCGATGGCCTGATGGGAAAAGACATCGCTGAGGATGCAGCCGGACCGAGTTCGAACCCTGTCCCATCTGCTTTACATTTATAAATTTAGCAAGGGTCGAACCCGGGTTTCCCGTCACCCCGTCCAGGGGCGAAATGAGTACCAGAAGCGAACACCCCCCGCTGAGTTGCCAAAGCATCTCACCAAACATGTTCATTTTCTAACTTCTGAACGTGTGGATGGCTGATGCCCCATGATTAAATGTTAAAATTGCTAAATATTTGAGCCAGAATGGCCGAATGGTAAAACACATTGAATGGTAGTCAGACGAACCGAGTTCGAGCCCCTCCATGTACTCCATTTATTAATTTAGCAAGAATCGAACCCTGGTTTTACGGGGGGGGCACACCAGGTCTGAATTCATTCAGACGACGCTCGATTGCTTGTGAAAAATTTCGGGTGCTTATATTTATACTGCTACACGAAATCTTCAACAGCAGGTCCTATTTGATGACAAGAAAGAGACGTACTGGTTGGAAAGCACCACCGTGGAAAGATGGTCCAGAGGTGTAGGACTGTCATTCCCACCTGGGTAACTCATGTTCGAGCCCGAGTGCTGCCGTTGCCGTTTCGCTCCGTTTTTTCCACACAATATCTTCACATTCACTTCCTGTTTCAAAATAAAAGTTTTTATTTTATTTCCGGAAAAGCCGTCATCAACGGAAACCTATTTAAAGCGGGCCGACAAAGCAATCGTTCTGTCTCACCTTCGACAGCCTCCGCTCGTCCTCGTCTGCTCCTGCTCCGCACGCCTGTCCACACGGAAAACTCCAAAAAGGTGACTTTTTATTCTTTAAATAGCCTCTGAAAACACACGGCTTTCGCTCAATTTGAATGGAAAGCAAAGCAGCACTTTGGACGTGCTGGTACCTGGCTAACGTGCTCAGCAAAAACGTTTGCTCGAGCGTTAGCAATCAATATCTCCTGCGACCTCACGTTGCAACAAAGCCTTTTTTTCCAACATCCTAGGACGAAAGCGGCGTTTCGCCGAATGGGTAAGTAGACAAAACCCGTTTTCTAAATCCACAATTAAAGCAAAATATTGTGCCTACGTGCGTGCTAATTGTGTCATTTTTGTTCACAGGTACAAATCTTCAAATGGAATCTAGCACGGGCCACTCGCTGTGCGTTTTAATGTGGATTGTATGTCCTTAATCGTTTGGAACGAGCCCATCTAATTTGTCTCTTTTCTATCCACAGGCTTTGCATCTGCTATAGAATGGCCAAATTGACTGCAACACGGTAGAACTGCCACGTTTTAAGAAGCCACCGTACGACAGACTAAATCCCTAATGTGTCGATTCTGATTTCTGTCTACACAGGCTCACATCGACAGAATGACCCATAAAATGGCTGCCATCCTGGCTTCACGAGGCTTTGGCAGGTCTTTTACATGCATACCAAATATCGGGGCACTAAGCCACGCGCTTGCAAGGTTGAAACTCAAAAGTTTACGTGACCGTGTCTGTCAGGCCACCGCGCTGTCGAAGAGGCGTCCAGCTCACAGGAGCTTTTCCTCAACCAACAAAGCTCGTTGACCTGTCGGTTGAGTGGGCGCACTTGTGGCTAAAATAAAATTGTGGCGGGGCTCTTAATTCCTGGCCCTCTCACACTTACCCAAATGGTCAGGATCGTTGTCGGGCTTCCGCAGACCTTGCTGATCATCTGATCATTTGAATCAGCTGTGTTGCACCTGTGAGAAAACGGGCAGCAGAGTGTCACCTGCTTAACATAGGCGTGTTTGTCCTGCTTTTGTCCACCAGATAGTGCTGAAGGACCTGATGCAGGTTGTGAAGTCGAGCCGTCCCTCCTCAACGTTTGGACCTGTTGCAAAATTCCATGCCAAGTCCTTGAACTGTTGCTTGTAGGCAGGCCCTCAGCAAACATAGCATCACGATCCACCTGATGTCACACACAGCGTGACTGAAGTTACACCCAAAAAGCACTGCACATTGAATTTTCAAGCACACTCACCTGCCTTTTCTTTGACTCGGCATGCAGCGCAGCTTGCAGTAAGAGTGCTGCCAGAGATCCTCAAACTGCTGGGCCAAGAGACAAATGCGACAAGCTCGAAGCAGGTCCTCGACGTTGCCGTTGAAAGGTACAAATTCAGAGCTTGATGAGTCCCTTGTTTGCAGTGTTGGCAGGTTTGACCACCTTGGATGAGTTGCTGGACCAGTAGCAGCTTGGCCTATTGGTGCTGATCACGCTAGACCAGCTGTTGCAGCAAAAGGTTCCAGTCTCCAGTTGCTGCGGCAGCGTAGAGTAAAACGGAACTGCGTTTCAGGTTAGGAATTGGTGTCTACTCACCTGTGCCTTGTCATTCAGATGGCGCCTGTGCAATGAGGTGAAGACTCTGAGCCATCTGCTGGAAAGAAGTTGCATTTCAACAAGCATGTGTTCATTTTCCAGAGTTGAGGAAAACGTTTTTGGGTCCTCTGTGCCGCAAGAGGGGAGGAACCTGCTCACTGCCAGAGTCCACAGTCGAGCAGAAAACACTTTTTGCCCTTCTTCTTACTCTGTTATTTGCAAGGTGCTGAAGCCAAACTTTGCCTGAAAGGCAGGGAGACATTTACACTTGTTCAATGCACCATCATGACTACTTTTAAGTGTCCCCTTCTCGAAGCGGCAATAAACGCGATCCGCTTCCTGCTGATAAAAGACCACACCGCTTGTCTCTCTCGCTGGCAAGTTTCTTGCCAAAAACATCTTTGTCTGTACAACAAATTGACTTGTGTGGAACTCACGGATGTCTTTCCTCAGGTCAACACACCTGTCCCGTGTTCCTCTCACGAGCCGACCACTTCGCTGCCCAGCAACAGACTGCCATCCAACTTACAACTTTTTCTTCTGCTTTGTCTACTCTGCAAAAGAAATAAAGCTTGATTACAAAGAACACAAACTAAAAGCTAGATTACAAAGAACACAAACGATTCATTCTTAAACACATCACGACAATCTAACTTAAAAAAAAAACAATCTTAAACATTTAAAAAAAAAAAAAAATTATTTTCAGTTTTTTTCAAAAGTTTTCTTTCAGAATGTTTGTCTTCCGTGCAGGAAAATTCAGGGAAAGTGGGTGAAATAGATGTTCTCTGATTGACCGGGGCATTTGTGGAGCGTGACTATGCAAATATACACCGGTCTTGTTGGTCGGATTCCGGAATGTGAGTGTGGATATGCAAAAACCCTTGATTCTGATTGGTTATGTAAACAACGGCCTCACCGTGATTGGTGGATGTGAAATTCGGTGTGGTTTGGGGCGGGCTTTGAAGCAGTATTTCAAAGGCCCACTTGAGTTTTCAGGTCAGACTTGCACTTGGGTCACATCAGACAGTCTCTTCACTGTTCCCGTGGGTTTCACAAGACCCAAAAGCTCGATTCCTGCAGTTTCGAGTCATGTGGAGACCAACGGGACCAGCAGTGTTACACTTGTGTCCATACGAATGACTGTCTCCTCAAGACTTTAGTCTTTGAAAGGTCTTCCACTGCTGTGATTCTGACGCATGAAAGGCTTCGAGTGAGTTGAGCTTGAATTTAATCATAAAAGGCAAAGACTCAAACTCAAGTTGATTTATTGGACAGAAAAGCGAACATGACGATGTGAAAGCATTTTACCAGTCAATGTTTGTGTGGGCCAGTTCGTTGAAAGGTTTTCTCAAACCACGTTTACATTTTTGAGGACTTATTGATTGGCATGTATTCCCGAAGACAGTGAATCTTTTGAGGGGGAAAAGTTATTGGGGCCCTCTAGAAAGTTTCCTCCCCAATATAAAACGAAGTTTGATTTCACCGTTGTATTTTTTTCGGTGGACTGTTCTTGAAAAGTTGAGGGCCACTTCAGTCGAAGGTTTGTCATTCCTATTGGCGCCAGCAGACGGCGCCCTTACTTTTCGTTCAGACCTTTTGTTGTGTTGTTTGTTTGTTTTGAAGCGTCAACACCGTCGACGACGGGCGCGAGCCTATGGCGAGTTCGTGGTCGAATTTTACAATGATTCTTTATGCTGTTAGCTGACATTGGGAAGCGAAATCGGGTTTATTGATTCCCCTTGCCAAAAGCGGGCCCTCTGCTGGAGTTTGAGAGCGAAATGTTTCTGAGCCTCTTCAGGTGTGACGGGCTGCTCGTGGTGGCGCAGAGGCTGGGAAGAGGACGCATTCTGCTGGAGTTCATGCCGGTGGACTCGGAACAAGGCGGCCTGGTTCTACGACTGCACGCCACCAGCCCCAAACAACTCACCCCCCACCCCCCGAAGCTTGATTTCACCGCGATCCTTTCGGTTTTGCAGGTTCTTCAGCCCCCGGCCCTGTTGGGACCAGCAGAGAGCACCCCGCAAGCATCCAGACAAGACTTGCATCTCAACTCTTCCAGCGGACTTGCCCTAATCTACAAAGCATCTTGAAACAATGAATAAAGTTGGCTTGCACGTTTGGAAGTGTGCGCATGGGTGTTTTATTTGCACTTTATTCGCGATCACCAAGAAAGCAAAATGACAAAACGACACGATCTCTTTGTGCAACTCGTCTTCAATCGAAAACGAAGTTGGCTTTGCAAACTATCTCATGATCCTGATCTCAGGATGGCATTCTGGAGGCAGGCAGTCGGAAATACTGGCGGGTTCGATGGGTAATGGGTGAGGTTGGAGTGCCGTCACATCGCCAACGAGAGACGCCAACCGTCTCACAGAGTATGTTCTTTTTTACCTTCAAAAAGCCGCACTTGTGTGGTCAGCCGCCTTTGACTACCTCAAAAAAAATCGGAAATTTCCGTGCTCGGATGGCCTGGTGGTCAAAGACATCGCTGGGTAGGCAGGCGGCGGAAGGAATTCGAACCTCCACCTGCTCTCCGTTTATAAATTTAGCAAGAGACGAACACTTGTTTTCCGTCACCTCGTTCAGGGGCGAAGTGAGAAATTTGAACCAGAAGCGAACACTCCACGAGAGATGCCGAGCGTCTCACCAAACATGTTCCTTTTTTTTAACCCATCCCTTTTTTAAACGCCCTGTAATTACATTTAAAAATTTCGAAATTTTCGCGCCAAGATGGCCGAATGGTAAAAGACATCACGTCGTAGTCAGGCGAACCGGGTTCGAGACCCACCATGTGCTTCATTTATAAATAAAGCAAGATTCGAACCCGGGTTTCCCGGGTACCAAGTATTGTCGTTATCCGACCACGCTAATTCACTGATAAAACTTTTCGGGTGGTTGTATTTATAGACCTACACCAATTCTTCAACGGGACTACGTGATAGAAATAGATATAAAGTTTTCGTGGTCAATGTCGCAGTGGAAGGACAGTCCAACGGTATACGACAAGGATTCTTCACTGGTGAACTCAAGTTCGAGCCCCGGTGCCGCTCATAAGCAAAGCCTTCAACATTTCGCTCAAGTTTTTCTCCACACAATATCTTCATTCTCACTTCCTGTTTCAAATTTAAAGTTTTTTTTCTTTCCGGAAGTGACGTCATTGGCGGAAGCCTATTTAAGCCGGTCCTTCGAGGCACTCATTCTTTCTCACCTTCGACAGCCTCCGCCTCGTCTTCCCGCTGCTCCTGCTCTGCACGCCCGTCCAGAAGACCAGGTAAACTCCAACAAGGTGACTTTTTTTGCTCTTTAATAGCCTCTTAAAATACACCGCTTTGGCCCCCACTTTGAATGGAAAACAGCACTTTAGACGTGCTCGCACCTGGCTAACATGCGAAGCCAAAATGTTTGCTCGAGCGTGAGCAATCAGCGTCACCTGCAACAAAACCTTTTTTTTTTCCCCCCAGCCTTCTAGGACAAAAGCGACGTTTGCCGAGAGGGTAAGTAGACAAAACTCATTTCTACATTCACAATTAAACCGAACTAATGTGCATGTGTGCGTGTTAATGGTGTCATTTTTGTTCACAGGTACAAATCTTCAAATGGACTCGAACACGGGCCACTCGCTGTGCGTTTTAACGTGTAATTTAAGTCCTGAACCGTTTGGAGCAAGCCCATCTAATTTGTCTCTTTTTCTATCCACAGGCTTTGCATCTGCTGCAGAATGGCCGAATTGACTGCAACACGGTAGAACTGCCACATTTTAAGATACCGCCGCAGGACAGACTAAATCCTGAATGTCTTGATTGTCATTTCTGTCTCCACAGGCTCACGTTGACAGAACGACCCACAAAATGGCTGCCATCCTGTGGAGTTTTGGGCCCTGGCTTCACGAGGCTGTGGCAGGTCTTTGACATGGCGACCAAATATCGGGGTGCTGAGCGAGGCACTTTGAATGTTGAATATTTAAAAGTCAAGAGCTTACGTTACCATGTCTTTCAGGCCACCGCGCTGTCGAAGAGGCGTCCAGCTCTTTTCACAAGTGAAGCAAACCCTTTTATACACGTGTGACGACTCGTAATTGAATCAGCATGTGATTTCCGAAAGATTGGGCACAGGTGTCAAAACCAGAAATGTCAAAAGTTTGGTTTTGGTCCGGGAATTGGTTGAGCTACTCCTCAACCAATTCCCGGAAACTCGTTGACCTGCTGGTTGAGTAGGCGCACCTGTGGCTCAAATCAAACGGTGGCGGGGCTCTTAATTTTGGCCCTCTCTCACTTATCCAATCAGGTGCGTTGCACCAGGGAGCGAGAGGGAGGAAACTGTCAGCGAAGTGGCACCTGCTCAACATGTGCATGTTTGTCCTGCTTTTGTCCACCAGATGGTGCTCAAGGACCCGATCGACGTTGTGAATCCGAGTCTTCCCTCTTCAACGTTTGGACCCGTTGCTTGTCGGCAGGCCCTCAGGAAACGTGGCGTCACGAGCCACCTGCTGTCACACACACACGCAGACTGGTGACTGAAGCTCCACCCAAAAAGCACTGCATATTTTGTTGTCAAGCACACTCACCTGCTTTTTCTTTGACTCTGCATGCAGTGCAGCTTCCAGTGACCCTCCACCTGCTGGGCAAAGAGACAAATGCGACAAGCTTGCAGAAGGTCCTCACTGCTGTCTCCATTTGCAACGTTGCCGTTGAAAGTTACGAAATAATGGGGGGGGTGTCTCTCTCGTTTGTGGTGTTGGCAGGTTTTGACCACCTTGGATGAGTCACTGGAACAGAAGCAGCATGAGCAACTGTCGTAGCAAAAGGTTCCAGTCTCCAGTTAATCAACACTTGGGAAGCAAGTTGAAAAATGAGGAGCAGAGTACAACGGAACTGCGTTTCTGGTTTGTAATTGGTGTCTACCAACCTGTGCTTTGTCTTTCAGATGGAGCTGTTGCAGTGCGATGAGGTGAAACGTGACTCTGAGCCACCTGCTGGGAAGAAGTCTCCATTTCAATAAGCCGGATTTCGTTTTTCAGAGTTGAAGATTGTTCTTGGGTCCTCTGTGCCACAAGGGGGAGTAACCTGCTCACCGCCGGAGTCAACCCACAAGCACAGACCTGCAGCCAACACTTTTTTGCTCTTCCTGTTATTCGCTAGGTGCTGAAGTCAAATTTTGGGCCAGCCTGAAAAGTAGGAGACATTTACACTCGTTCAATGCACCATCATGACTACTTTTTTGACCCCCCTTTCCTTTCTCTAGACAGCAGTAAACATGATCGGCTTCCTGCTCTCCAAAGACCCAACACTGACTCTCTCGTAAGTGTCATGCCCAACACATCTTTGTCTGCACAAGAAATTGACTTGCACATAACTCACGGATGTGTTTCCTCTCAGGTCAACACACCTGTCCCACGTTCTTAAGAGCCGACCACTTCGCCGCCCAGGAACAAGCAGACTGCCATCCAACTTGCAACTTTTTCCTCTGCTTTGTGATTGTTTACTCTGCAAAAGAAATAAAGCTTGATTACAAAGAACACTTGAACTCTCAACTTCATTCTTAAACGCATCACAAAAATATAACTTAAAACAATTTAAAACCTTTAACCAAAAAAAAAAAAAAAATCCTATTTTTTTATCAAAAATTTTTTTCCCAAAATTTTTTTCTGGATTTTTTTTTTTTCTGGGATTTTCTTCCCCGGCAGAAAAATCGAGGAAAGTGGGTGTGGTGTAGCTGGAATGCTGGCTCATGATTCGCTGATGGCTGTGAGAGTGGGTGGGGCATGGCAATAACATGCTGCGATTGGCG